CTGCCCATCACTAATCCAGCTTTTGGGTGATGGCCTTCTGGGAGGCAAGTTTCTCTTCTGGCTAACATCAAGGCTTCAGACTTTCTCCTCTTCCCAACCTCCAGTGTGGAATTCCAGTATAAATGTTTTCCTTTGGAATCCATTGTTTTTTGGTAGTCTGATAGCAGCACAAGTGTCTCTCTTTAAAAAGATCTTCTGTCCTGCCAAGGGTTACAACCCCTTCCCAGAATGGACCACTCCTGCCTTTGCCTGTTATCCCTTCCATGCTAAATAAGTGGGTTCCTCTCTCCTGGACATTTATTGGTCATTTAGCCAGAAATGTACAGGGACCTGTTTGCTGACACTTGTCTCTTCAGCTAGCCAAGGAGGCAGCTCCTTGGAGGAAGGGATCCTGTGTGATCCAGTTTGTAAACACCTAGCTTGTACACTAGAACTTGGTACCCATGCCCTGGGGGGTGGGGGGGAGGGACCAGGAGGAAGGACAGGCTGGGTGGAAGGGAGTGTGTTTTACACTGTAGATCGATATATAAATGTGTCAGCTATGCCAGCATAGCTGACTGAGTTCCTTGGATTGGCAGAGGGCTGAGGGCGAAAGAAAGAAAGACAAGGAGTCATCTGGTAAAGACCAAATGCTATATTTTCAACTGCGTCACTCCCTTTTATACTCCCCACAAAACAGGAACAAAACAGGAACAGGAATAAAACAGGAACAAAACAGGAACATGGAGATACACTTGGCAGCCTATCACTTAAGTTTGGATTTCTCCTTGAGCAGTCTTCTCAGGGAAATGCATAGAGACAGGGGAGCAGGCATAACAGCGCAGGTGCAAAGGATGGTGACTCACATAAATGTAGGTCATTCTGGTGTCACTGGGATCCCAACACAGTTACCAGGTGGTGGCTTCTGCAAAATGGAGAGGATGCTCTCTCCAAACGGAAAGACTACCACTACCATCAAGAAAAACAGAAACTGTGAGCCTTCTATTCAAAAAGTACGAAGTGCTGACAGCAGAGGCCGGACCCAAAAGCACCACAGAAATCTACTGTGTAGGAGCTTGAAATACAAGCAAGAGGATTTGGAAAGAAGTTTCCAGTTTTCTTTGTATAGTGGATCTCCAAGCAAAAGAGAGCACAGAAGAAAATGGATTTAAACATAAGGAGGCACCATAGCTACCTGCCATACACATAAATGCCTTTTCTTCTTTGTGGTTTGTCTCAAGTAACATGCTAAGCAGGTTTTAACATTTTAAACACAATCTCAAAGAAGAGATAGGATGGAGGAGCCATTGGCTAAATTCCTTCAAGCACCTTGTAGAAATTGTCCCAGTGATCTCTGTAGAACTGTTAGCAGCAGGATTATCTAGACCAGGACTTCTTTAACTGCCGTGTGTGTGTGTGTGTGTGTGTGTGTGTGTGTGTGTGTGTGTGTGTGTGTGCGTGTGTGCCATGTTATAGCTTGTCACTCATTATTGGTTTAGTAAAATAGGAAAGAACAAGACACGCCAGTTGTGGGGTCGGAGGCATGGTTCTGTTCCTGGGACTCATGTGGAGACTCACAACTCCCTGTAACTACAGGTCCAGGGAGGATCAAACACCCTCTTCTGACTTCTAAGGAACCATGCACGCTCATGGTGCATAGACATACATGCAGACAAAGCACTCATACACATAATATAAAAAAAATTTAAATAATTTGAATTTTAAAAAGATAAACCAATTATAAAAACAGATTTATTAACAGAGCCAAAATAGTTAAACTCATTATCAAGGTGTCAACATGGTTGCCTTCAGGTTTTGTCCTTACGTTATTGTGGGTCCAAAACAGTGTTTAAACTGTCTCCTGTCTACTGCCACACCTTGACGGACACTAAGTTAGACTGGACTTTGATATTTTCAAATAAAAAGCCAGAGGAGGACAGTCATGCCCACACCATCCAATGAAGACAATCTTAGGAGGACATACACTACTTAAAAACTAGATATTCTAAAGCACATTTTGTAATTGAAAATAGGGAAACCGAATGGTAGAAAGCTCTCTTTTCTGTGTGTCTCTGTCAGTTTGCTCCCGCCTGAAGTTGAGTGAATTCCTTCTTAGCCTAGAATCCTTTCCCATGCAGACATCTTCTGTGGATGGCTTGTGAGCCACGTAATGGCCACAGGTGCTGACACGAAGCCAGTGAAATTAATAGGCAGTTCAATGTGCTCTCAGAGGGCTTGCTGGTGTCCCCACTCCGTCATTTGGGCAGAGACTGAACTGTTATTAGGCCGAGCTTCCAGCCTTTCATTTTGGCTAGGGATGATTACAGCTGCCAGGGCAGCACATGCTACAGTAGTTTCCAGTAACTGGTTCAGGGTTAACATCCCTATTTAAAAGACTTAATTATGGTCAGATCAGGGAACCAGTTGTGGCCATTAAACTTTGATCTGTTATCTAGAGTGACCTACAAAAATGTGGACTCCTAGTGGCCTATTTTCTCAACAACGTCAGAAAAGCATGCAGCTTTTAAAATACAGGGTCTCTGCTGTGGACTCTCAGGGTTTCAAAGCATTTACCTTCAGAGATTTGATGAGAGGAAACCACAGGCTTTATCTATAACCCCAGATGAAGTTTTGCAAGGCGTTTGACTGGGTTTTTCATTCATAGCCTGCAGGATCCAGTCATGTGAATCTAGCAGCCCTGTCACTGTCCTGGCTATACCTCAGTTTGAGGTGTTGGTAGGTGCCAGGGTCTCTAGTTTACTTTTAGTTTACATGCAAAATGCACCTTCAAAATGTTTAATTAGGGTCTGGAAAGGTGGCACAGTGGTTAAAACCAGACCATTTACTACTTTTCCAGAGGACCCAAGTTCAGTTCCTAGCACCCATGTTGAGCAGTTCACAACTGTTTGTAACTATAGCTGGAGGGGGATCAGATACATCTGGCTTCCTTGGACACTTGGAAGTGTATACACACACACACACACACACACACACACACACACACACACACACAAAAATAATAAAGAACTTTAAGTATTTAATGACATGCTAAGCTACTATCAAATGTTTATACTTGATAGTAGTCATTCAACCATTTCTATGTACCACATGTAATTTTAACAAAAATGCAGATTTGTTTTGTTTGGCATCTATTGGAGGAGAACTGCATGCCATGGCCTAAGTGTGAAGGTCAGAGGAAAATGGGTGGGCATTGGTTCTCTCCTGCCAGTACCAGTGTTCTGTGGAGGAAACTCAGGGCATCAGGCTTGACAACAGGGTTTTACCCACTGACCCATTCCGTGAGCTCTCAGTGAATGATTTTTGGATGAAGTTCTGGTTGTACCTGTTGCTCTAAGTGTACTGTTCCCTGGATCTGTCATGCTTAGCTGCTCATGGCTAGACGTGAACGCCTCTGCACATTCGCAACTTCCCCACTCATGATGGTGACAAAAAGCTTTGCTTGAGGTGTGGGGGGTGATCCTAACTACACTAAAATCTTGTGAGCCTCCTTTCTTATGAGTCGTTCCAGAAAGAGAGGGAAGGGAGGAGAGAGGAGAGAAGAGAGGCCAGTACCAACAAAGCTTGCTTCAAAAGATAATAAAGGTCCCGTGTGGCCAAGCTTTTAGGAGGAAAGGACCAGAATGGAAGCCTATTGGGGGTAGACAGTGACCTGTGCTACTTCAGGAAGCTAACAGCAAAGCCTTCGCTTTTCATGAAAGGAACAAAGACTGAGAATGAACATGGCTTAGGGAAAGACATTTTAAAAAAAGAGATTCCGATGCATACGAAGTCATAGCTTTTCCTTCCCTGGGTTCTTCTGCACAACACCTCCTGTGTTGCTGGGAAATGGGGTACAGTGGGGAGCTGGGCTCTGGGATCCCTGTCACTTTGCATAGGCACCCTCTCCCTCCCCTCCTTCCACCGTGCTGCAGCTGACCTGCATCCTGTACTTGGGAGGAAGCAGAGCTGCCGCGGGGAGGGGCTAGATTTTTTTTTTTTTTACATTATTTCAGCTGTTCTCACTCTTTGCTTTATTCTGCCCCTGCTTCCCACTGAGTGCATTCTTCAGTGATGCTTGAAGAGAAGAACACTGAGTGATGAACTCTGGAGCGTACAGTTTCCCCTTTCCTGGCAATTCAAACAGCTTCTGGGATGTGCTGGTTTAACCCTTGTGAGTCTGACAGATGTGGGATATATCTGAGAACCATTGAAATGCTAGACGTATAAAATGATTTCCATCCCCGAATTCATTAATAGGACTTAACGCTTAACAAAAGTAAGTAGGGTGCTTAGTTTTTAAACTTTCCCAAATTATCTGAAGGAGAATCTCGTCCTATGTATACATATCTGATGCCTTTATGCCTTAGACTTATCTAACACAACTCTATCACACTTTGATTTTTTTCATTTCTGATTTCCCACTGTATGCATTTCAAGTGTGCTTGAGAGTGAATGGGTAAGTCAGAGATCACTCTTGGGTGTTGTTCTACAAGTTCTGTCTGCTTTAGTTTTTTAAACAGGGTCTCTCATTGGCCTGGGACTAGGAAGTCAGACTAGGCTGGCTGGCCAACAAACAAGCTCCGGTCTCCACCTCCGCGGCACTGGGATTACAAGCGTGCCTCACCATCACAGGTCCCAGGGCTTGAACTCAGGTCCTAATGCTTGTACAGAAAGTGCTTTCCAACTGAGCTATCTCATGAGACCACTGAATATTTTTCTTAATTACTTAAAGACACAAGAAATGATATCCTGCCCTAACTCTGCCATTTTCACTAACTGTGATCAGTATCCACAGAGGGAAGCTCTGGTGGTTTGGGGTTAGGGTGGATCCTTTAATGTAGACCATACATTCTCCTTGTACTCATTCATGAGAGAAAATTTGTTTGTAACCCATGATAAAGGTAATAATTGTGTTAGTATCATAAGTTATTTAAAATAGATGCCAGTGATTCGCCTTACATATTAAAAATGTCTTAGAAAAGATCAGGAGTCCTAAGGCATCCTTCTCATTGATTTCACAGGATTACCTGGCATGCATCCAGGAACAAACCAAACTTCCCCTGGGGACAGAAAACAGGGCCGCCCTTTTCGGAAACATTGAGGATATCTACCACTTCAATAGGTGAGTCAATGCATGAAAGGCTGTTCTGACATAAGAACATTATGGATTTCTTCAATAGGTAAGTCAATGCATGAAAGGCTGTTCTGACATAAGAACATTATGGATTTCTTCAATAGGTGAGTCAATGCATGAAAGGCTGTTCTGACATAAGAACATTATGGATTTCTTTCAGCTGAACACACCTAAGAAATCTTTGCCCATAATCCTTGATTTGGCTTCATAAATGTTATAACCATCTGTTCTACTATCTCAGAGAGTACACTCATCTCCCTGGTAGAGCATTGACATCTTTTGTCCATAACAGAATGCAAGCAGGGCATCACACTAGCTTGCTCTCTGGAATCTAGATTTTCAACATGCTTTCTTCTGCCAAATTATTACAATATTCTTAAATTTATTTGTGGTGTGTGTGTGTGTGTGTGTGTGTGTGTGTGTATCACAGGGAGAGAAAACTTGCAGGAATTGTTTCCTTCCTCTATATAGGTTCCAGAAAAGGAACTTGGGTCATCAGGCTTTGGCAGCAAGTACCTTTACCTGCTGAGCCATCTTGCAGTCCCCAGTTCAAATAACTTAATTCACATATGTATTGTCAGTCCTGGATGGTAAACACTAGGCTAGAAAGTTATACTTGTAACCAAGACAGGAAGCTGCAGGGAGTGGGAACAGATACAAGCTCTTGTAACAGTTTGTAGCACAGCTTAGAAGACACAAAAGTCAGGCTAAGAACACAGGTTCTGGTATTTGTCATTTCATCTGACCCATGGGAGATGTCCACACTTTGATGAACAAACAGACTCGAGTACCACAAAATGTCCCCTCCTGTGGCTGTGGTGAAGCTCTTAGCTGACATACTTAAAGGACCAGCTCAATGTCATAATGCAGCAAGCACTAAAACATTGCCACTGGAGAGGTGTGCACGTGACACAGTGAACTGCAGTCCTCCCTTGTTCTGTGATTCAACCGTACTGCAAGCTACGTCCTATCCCTCTTTGCTTATTTGGACCAATAAAGATGAGCTCCTCAGAGACAGGATCTTCATCTCCTTTGTCCCCTTTGGATTCCTGATATTTAGCACCAGCCTGGCTTGTAGGAGCCAGGATCCTCCCGGTCTGACAATCTAGTTCATAGGAAACACTAAAGCTACATCAGGGTTTCATTTACCTAACCTTGCAGACTCTGAGAACCTAGGAACCTTGTGTGTTCCTAGCCCATGCTTCTCCTGGATCACCCACTGAAGCACCTGGGAAACTCTCTCTTTTCTTGTTTCTTTTTTTTCTTCTTTTTGGTTTTTTGAGATAGGGTTTCTCTGTGTAGCCCTGGCTGTCCTGGAACTCACTCTGTAGATCAGGCTGGCCTCGAACTCAGAAATCTGCCTGCCTCTGCCTCCCAAGTGCTGGGATTAAAGGCATACGCCACCACTGCCCGGAGGGAAACTCTCTTTAAAAAAAAAAAAAAAAAGACCACGGTGAAGATTGCTTGCCAAGCATACATAGGTTTCTTTCTCAGCTCCAGATAAAGCCATAAGTGATGGGCTCACCTGCCAAGGCAGGAGGATCAGAAGTGGAAGGGTCATCCTCGGCCACACAGTGAGTTCAAGGTCAGCCTGGGCTACATGGCATCATGTCTCAAACTAACAAGCAATATCTGGCCCTAGATGAGATCATATCACTTCTTTTAAAGGCTCTGGGCTTTATACAAAGGAGACAGAGAGATTGTAAGAGCAAGCGGTTGTGGATGACTCCAGAGAAATAGCAGTCTTCAGACACAACAGGGCTGATGGACATATGGACTCACAGAGACTGTGCACACAAGGTCTGCACAAGCTCAAGCCAGACAAAATCCCAGCGTGAAAGGGAAATGAGCATGATGTCCTACCCCAGCCAAGAAGCTATTTGACATTAATAGCTGCTGGGAGGGGCAAAAGCAGTTCAATTAAATCTTCAATGAAATGACACTGAGTGTGTCAACCACACTCCAGGGTGGACCCGGTGCTCAGGAGTAGTCAACCAACACAGACTGAACTCCGTGGGACTTGTTGTTATTATTGTTTTTAAGAGAGAGAAAACACATGAAGTTGGGTGGGTAGGGAGGTGATGGAGGATCAGGGAAGAGTTGGTGGAGGGGAAAATATCTGATGAAAATATACTGTATGAAATTCTCAAAAAATAAAAACCTAATTTTTATTAAAAAGCAATATCTGAACCCTACCCATAGAAATTGACTCATTGATCTGGGATGGGGCCACAGCATGAGAATTTTCTAAAAGGCCCTCAAGTCTTTATAATGTGGACCCACAGCCGAGAAACACTATTGAAACACTATCTAGCCCAGCAATAAGATGATGAGAAGGACATCAAAAACTGCAGAAGCCACATGCTCATTAGTGATGTGTTGGTTTTAACACAGGCCCCTATTTAGCAATTCCACAAGTCCCTGGATAGCATCAGTTTCCAGAGCCCACTAATGAAACTGTGAACCAGAAAGACGCTAGATGCTGAGAGGCCCCTGGCCTAGCTCTTCTGTGGTTTGGCTATAAATTGATGATGACAAGAACTTGTGGAGTATTTCTTTTGTGCCAGAGGCCAGACAGCTTTAGAGGCATCATCCCCTCATACACGTCATCGGGGCTCACTCAGCCATGTGCCCTCCCTCGCAGCAGAACCTTGTTCTTCAAGCCGTTACTGATCACCGGGAAACTAGGCTGAACTCAGGGGAGACTTTTCACTCCTTGAACTTTAAATGTTCACGTGTCTCCTAATCTACGAAAATATAAAAGGAAGTTAGCAGGAAAGGACTTGACAGTGAGGACCACTCTGCCAAAGCTTGGTGACTGGGAAGGACTCTCTGTTCTTGAATCCATTTTTTTTTTTTTCCTGTTGAATGTCCATTGACCATGAAAGCCATTCTTGTCTAAGATATGCCTGGGTTCAAGTGAAGGAATAGCCTGCTGATGATGTCATACAAGGCATGAATGAGGACACACGGTGGCAAGCCATTGGGTTCATGCTGCTAGCCATAGTGACCACATTTGTGTAGTCACAGGTCATGCAGTACCTTTATCCTCTTAGCAACTTCGCAAGGTGGACCAAATGCAATAAGACACATAAATTTCACACATGACGAATCAGCCTTTCAGACCAGAAATCCTCTGTTCAATAGTCCTGAGCCACTTTGGATACTATTTTTGTTAATTTCTAACATCTGGTTTGAAAAGAATATCTGTTGTTTAACTTTACTGTTAAATTGCCTGGGTTTTGTAGGTTAGTTCTTTGCTTGGTGGCCTGCTTGCTTGCTTGCTTGCTTGTATATTTGTTTGGGATAGGGTCTCACTATGTATTCCAGGCTGACCCTGAACTCACTAGGTAGCCCAGGCTAGCCTCGAACTCACAGTCTGTGTGTGATAGTCTCTAGAGTGCTGCGGTTGCAGGGCTTCAGTACCATGCCCAGCTACATACAGTAGGACTGTATGTTTTGTCTCCATTTGTTTTCATTTCCACCTTCTCAGACCTAGGATCTGTATTTATAGCTTAGAGGACATGACCCTGTGGTCGTTAAGAGTTGGTTAAGTAAGGACATTAATGCAACCTTTTATGGCATCCCTCATGCATTTTTAATGATCTTCCAATTGATTTCCAAGATGCGATTGTCTGGCAAATCACGATGGAGCTTTAAATAGAATTCTCCAAAGTTCTCTTGTTAGCTTACTTCTAGGTTTTTCAACATAAAATTGTAATGTTGTGTTCAAGTAGGTAAAACTTAAGTCTTCTGAATTAAAGGGGTGGCTATATTAGTCTACAATTTTCAGCTGAATTGGTTCATTTTTCCCAAGACATACAGATTGGGCATCCTTAAACCTGAACATCCAAAACATTCCAAATTGGAAACTTTTGAACAATGTGGCTGATGTGTTTATAAAAAGATAAAGAGAGAAGGAATATGTTTTGTGAAGGTGTGGTTAGGTGTGGGGGAAGGGTATAGTATAGAATAGAGTTTATTCAGGGCATGGGGAGGGGAGTCAAGAGGGTAGTAGAGGCAGAGAGAGAGAAAGAGACAGAGAGAGAAAGACAGAGGGAGGGAGAAGGAGAAGGAGAAGGAGAAGGAGAAGGAGAAGGAGAAGGAGAAGGAGAAGGAGAAGGAGAAGGAGAAGAGAAGTAGAGGCCAGCCATCATGACCACGTGGAGATAGAAGGGGAAAGGGAATGGGGAAAGAGGCGTAAGGGGCAAAAGGACAGAGAGGGAGCAAGAAAGCAGGTGCAAGAGCAAAAGGAAGGGGCAAGCCATCCCTTTTATAGTGAGTCAGGCATACCTGGTTGTTGCCAGGTAACAGTGAGGCAGAGCTTAGACAAAATGCTAACAGTAGCACACGTGGAAAATTCCCACCTCTGACCTCATGTGTCATAGTCCTAACACAGGTTCACTGAAAACTGCAAAATTACCTTGAAGCTACATATATAAGCTGCAGATGGAACAACAGAATTTTGTGTGTTATACTTGGGTCTCATCTCTGCGTCTATGCAGGTATTTCAAAATCCAAAAACATTTCTGGTCCCAAACATGTGAGTTAGGGAATTCTTAATCTGGATTTCTAAAACAGAGAAAAGTACAGAGTGATGTATAACAAACCCCAGCTTCTTTCAAGCTTCTCTGTACCATGTTTACTTTTTAAATCCTTTTAATTATAAAGGGGATATTTGAATATCCCACTGAAAACCTCTAATATGCCCTTCTCCAATATCATTCTGCACTATATAGAGGAGACACACACGTGCTAGAGCACCAGTTCTCTGCCATGGCATTGAGAGAGAAATCTGGACTTGATCATGATTGCCAGGTTCTATGGCACAAACATTCCTATCGTGTATCATCCCCTCATATTTTAGAAACCAGAGAGACAAATGTCTTAGATGTCAATATTCTATGTCATCACTGAAGGAAGAATGGGTAAGATGCGGGTCCAGTCAAGATACACCAGTTTTTTATTTGACCCAATCATCACATCTC